CCGGATAAAGGAGGAGGGTTGGGCATGGGGTTAGCGTCCCCATCCCGTAGAAAACTAACTCGCTAAAAAAACGCTAACCAGAAAAAATTATTCAAACCTTTTAAACTCTGCCCTGGGAGTCAGAAGGTCTTCACTTAGAAGAATTATGACGTCTCATGATGAAAGCCGAATTCCTTCGGAAGTTACGAGGCTGATGCCCCTTCTGACAACCAGAGCAACCATTTATTTAGGTACATGGAATGTTCGTACAATGTGGGACACCGGAAGAGCCTTCCAGATTGCTGCAGAAATGAGAAGATACAACCTAGAGGTACTTGGGATCAGTGAAACACATTGGACACAAGTTGGACAACAACGACTAACTACAGGAGAGCTCCTGTTATACTCCGGCCATGAAGAAGAAAATGCACCACATACACAAGGAGTTGCATTGATGCTGTCCAAACAAGCGCAAAATGCGCTTATAGGATGGGAATCTCATGGACCAAGGATCATCAAAGCCTCCTTCAAAACAAAGAAAGAGGGCATTTCAATGAACATCATCCAATGCTATGCACCTACCAACGACTATAATGAAGACGCTAAAGATCAATTCTACAATAGGCTGCAGTCAATAGTCGAGAAGTGCCCAACAAAGGACCTGACCATTCTGATGGGAGATTTCAACGCCAAGGTTGGAACGGACAACACTGGATATGAAGACATCATGGGACGACACGGACTAGGAGAAAGAAACGAAAATGGTGAGAGATTTGCAAATCTATGTGCCTTCAATAAGCTGGTCATAGGCGGCACCGTATTCCCACATAAACGCATACACAAAACCACATGGACTTCACCGGATCACTCTACACAAAACCAAATCGACCATATTTGCATCAACAAAACGTTCAGGAGGACTATAGAGGACGTGAGAACCAAGAGAGGAGCTGATATAGCATCAGATCATCACTTACTGGTCGCCAAGATGAAATTGAAACTCAAGAAGCACTGGACAACGGGGCAGACAGTATCACAAAAGTTCAATACGGCCTTTCTCCAGGATACTAACAAACTCAACAAATTCAAGATAGTCCTCAGCAACAAGTTCCAGGCCTTTCATGATCTACTCAATGGAGAAGGAACTACTGTGGAGAGCAACTGGAAGGGGATCAAAGAGGCAATCACTTCAACATGTCATGAGGTCCTGGGTCACAAGAAGCACAATCACAAGGAATGGATCACTGTTGGTACACTGGATAAGATTCAAGAAAGGAGGAACAAGAAGGCAGCGATCAATACCTGTCGAACAAGAGCAGAAAAAGCTAAGGCACAAGCTGAATACACGGAAATAAACAAACAAGTGAAGAGGAGCATCAGAACCGACAAACGTAAATATGTGGAAGATTTAGCAACGAAGGCGGAAAAGGCTGCAAGAGAAGGAAACATGAGACAATTGTATGACACGACAAAGAAACTCTCTGGAAATCGCCACAAACCAGAACGACCAGTGAAAAGCAACGCAGGCAAGGTAATCACCAACATTGAAGAGCAACAAAACAGGTGGGTAGAACACTTCAAAGAACTGTTGAATCGACCAGCTCCACTGAACCCACCCAACATCGAAGCAGCACCCACGGACCTCCCAATCAATGTTGGCCCACCAACAATTGAAGAAATCAGCATGGCCATCAGACAAATCAAGAGTGGCAAAGCAGCAGGACCGGACAACATCCCAGCTGAGGCACTAAAAGCAGACGTAGCGGCAACTGCAAGGATACTCCACATTCTCTTCAATAAGATTTGGGATGAGGAACAAGTACCAACAGACTGGAAAGAAGGACTTCTAATCAAAATACCGAAGAAAGGCGATCTCAGCAAGTGTGATAACTACAGGGGCATCACTCTTCTCTCAATACCGGGAAAAGTCTTCAACAGGGTATTGTTAAACAGGATGAAGGACTGCGTAGACGCCCAACTTCGAGACCAACAGGCAGGATTCCGTAAGGATAGATCGTGTACAGACCAAATCGCAACTCTACGGATAATTGTGGAACAATCAATTGAATGGAATTCATCACTCTACATCAACTTCATTGACTACGAAAAGGCATTTGACAGCGTGGACAGAACAACACTATGGAAACTTCTTCGACACTACGGCGTGCCTCAGAAAATAGTCAATATCATACAGAACTCATATGATGGATTAAACTGCAAAATTGTGCATGGAGGACAGTTGACAAAGTCATTCGAAGTGAAGACCGGTGTTAGGCAAGGTTGCTTACTCTCACCCTTTCTCTTTCTCCTGGTGATCGACTGGATCATGAAGACGTCAACGTCTGAAGGGAAGCGCGGGATACAATGGACATCTAAGATGCAGTTGGATGATCTAGACTTCGCAGACGATCTGGCCCTTCTATCCCAAACGCAACAGCAGATGCAGGAGAAGACAAACAGTGTGGCAGCAGCCTCAGCAGCAGTAGGTCTCAACATACACAAAGGGAAAAGCAGGATTCTCCGATACAAGACAGCATGCACCAATCCAATCACAATTGACGGAGAAGATTTGGAAGATGTTAAAACCTTTACATATTTGGGCAGCATCATTGATGAACAGGGTGGATCTGATGCAGATGTGAAGGCGCGGATCGGCAAAGCAAGAGCAGCATATTAACAACTGAGGAACATCTGGAACTCAAAGCAACTGTCAACCAACATCAAGGTCAGGATTTTCAATACAAATGTCAAGACAGTTCTACTGTATGGGGCAGAAACCTGGAGAACTACAAAAGCCATCATCCAGAAAATACAGGTGTTTATTAACAGTTGTTTACGCAAAATACTTCAGATCCATTGGCCGGACACTATTAGCAACAACGTACTGTGGGAGAGAACAAACCAGATCCCAGTGGAGGAAGAAATCAGGAAGAAGCGCTGGAAGTGGATAGGACACACATTGAGGAAAGCACCCAACTGCGTCACAAGACAAGCCCTCACATGGAATCCTCAAGGCCAAAGGAGAAGAGGAAGACCAAAGAACACATTACGCCGAGAAATGGAGATAGACATGAGAAAAATGAACAAGAATTGGATGGAACTAGAAAAGAAGGCCCAGGACAGAGTGGGTTGGAGAATGCTGGTCAGTGGCCTATGCTCCATTGGGAGTAACAGGCGTAAGTAAGTAAGTAAGTAAGTAAGTTAATCTGAGTTAAAGCAATATTCAAATTAGTGACCTCTAGATGATATAGATAAGTAAATTAAGCGAATAATTTTGCCCTAAAGATGTTTAGCAATTAGACAGGGAATATACTAAGCGATAAGCACATAAGTAAGACAGATTCACTTATGATCAATAAAGTACTTAAGAAGACATAACATAAAGTAGAATGAATTAAAAACTCAAATGAAACATTAAATAAACACCGTGATGAACTTATAAGAGAAGCTTGTTTGTATCAGAAATTATGTCAGTATTATATACTTAAAAAGTGACTATAACACATTCATATACATGTTTGTATGCACATATAACTGACTGCATAATTGTTTGGATTACTAATGGTATCAGTAGTTTCTAATACAAGTTCTATTACAGACATAGTTCACACTCTAAATGTGTATATAATAACTGTCAAGGTTAAATTTAAGAGATTATTGCCCTCAGATAACCAAAATTTGTAGAGATGCTGTTTTTTTTTACAACAGTAGGGGGTTAGAAAACGTCAGATTTTTTTGCCAGTGATAAGGCCTTATAATGCGGATCTATAATATCTAAAATCACTTATAGAAATCCCAAGTACCCAGCCTTAAGCAGTTGTTCTCTAAGCATTCTGGTCAAGCTCCGCGGTAGCCAAGACCATTTCAAATCCATTTCCTTTTTAAGCTCCTCAAGAAGAAACAGAATTTTCCAATAGTTTTTGACAGCTAGCAATTGATAATTACCCTCATATATCTTTAACAACCATCGAGATAATTTTATTCCCATACGCTGGCAACAAGAAAAATTGGAGTCAATTCACACACTAAATGCGAGTGCTAATAAGACTGTCCGGTTGCCCATATAAGAGTGGATAAATTGTGGTTCAAACCTGTGAATTAATGGCTAAAAGTTAAATGCTCTAACAACTGCTGAGCTGTTGATCCACTTCCAATAAAGTATCCATTCTATTCCGATCTCATAATTCGATTATTAACTACATTTAAAAGCAAGCAATCCAGCGTTTAGGCCAGATCGATAGATATGCAACATTCATAACCACTCAGTTTATAACATGTCATTTAGCTCATTTCATAGACCAATCATAATAGTCAGTATAAGGTTGTGGAGATTGTCGAGTTTCATTGAAATGATGAACTGATCAATGTTAGACAACCATCGTCCTAGTATGGGACCCCTCAGAGGTGCCCATCCACAACTTTTAGTACAAAAACTGAGTCTGGGGTCTTTGGTCTCACGCGCAAATACCTAACTTCTAGACCACTAAGCTGAAATCCAATGGTCTTAATATCTAACTTCAATCAATCCACGATATTCATAACGGATTGGTTAATTTCACCATTACCGAAGTCACTGTTTTTCTCACATACATACAATTGATTTTCTAAACACAAAGATTTATTAAGTTTTTTTACTAGTGATTACTAAGCTTTTTTAGTTTTCAAGTTTTCGTTTTGTACCATTATCACCAATCATAACAACACAGTTTTATCACAAGTTTGCTTGATAACGACTTATACTTGTTGACCGAAAAATAGATAATAGAGAATGTATCCATATTAAAATAAATTCTACAGTGCGATACCACAACTACGTAAGTAATTATTGTATAACTGGAATATTTGAGAGATTAAATCAAACAAATACATTGTGGATAATAGTTAGAACGACCGTTCCGTATGTGATTATATGAAAGAGAGAAAAAAACATTGATATGAGCCACAGGATAAATAAAAAAAGGAAAAACAGAGACCATTTGAAAACAGTGAGAGAGAAAAATAACAACGACAAGTCCACTTACCTTAACTATCATTTGAATTTCCATATCATTGAATAATCGTCCACCTGAATTCATGGAATCGCCAATAGGATGTCTTTGACTATTGTGAATACTATTATTAGTATGATTTGGTTCACCATCAATATGATGACTTAGTAATGTATCTCTAGATGAATAATTCAATTGATTATGATCATTATTCATACAATATTGATGCGGATGTTGATGAGGATGATTTGATAGGTTCATATCCTGATTTGACTGTATAGGAGTAAGTAGATTTTGATGAGAGTTAACTGTACTACCACTTGGTATAGTAGAAAATTTTGAAGGAATTATACCTAAAGAAGTGTTATTATTATTATTACTGCTATGCCCATGTTGAACAGATGAATGCAATTGAAGTGGAAGAGATGATTGTGAATGTGTCGGAGGTGGCATAGGCGGTGGTGGTAACGGTGGAAACGGAGGTGGTTGTAAAGGAGGAGCAACTGAAACGCCAGGAATTTTAGATAATGATTTTTGTGTAGAAGGATTAGATGAATGATTATTTGGTTGTTTAGAATAATAATCCATAGTTTGATTGACAGAATTCAAATTACAACCAGGATTACAGTCTAAAATATCATGATTAGAAGCGAGATCTGATGTATCTTGAAAACAATAAAAAACAAATAAACACGTATACATATTAAAAAAAAAGTTATAGAGAGAGTTTCGTCTTGCATATGATTAATAAACGAGAATAAATACCAAACAAAATGTTATAACTGTGATCCAGCGTTTTCTGACTAAAAATTTGATACCTTCGGAAGAGAGAACAGAAGTTAGCTCTCTTTTTCATCATGTTCTTTGAATCTCTCGTAAAAGTGATTTTTTTAAATCGATTTGCCAGGCTTACAAATTCGTGCAATTGGTTTTGAGTCGCATTTTATGTCCGAGTTAGTTATAATACCTGGCTCTTTGAACTGGAGTAGGTTGAGAGGGAGTTGAACCTATGATTTAGTGGCTGAGAAACGGAGGTCTAAACCACTGGGCCACCGATCGCAAATAGTTTACTAATGTGAAAAAGCATGTAACAAACCAATAAACCATCAGGCATTACATAATATAGAGATAAGTTATAACTCAAGTTGAACATTAATTGCTCTGCTAGATCGAAATTTTACAAACTATGAAAATCTCGAGTTGAAATTGATACATTATTGCAATACATTTACCATGTACATATTCATTTAGTCACAAGGAGAGAAGCAGTGATTCTACTCGGCCTCCTGGATTTAGTGGGGTTCCAACATGTGATTTATTGATTGGAAGTCAAATAGAGTTCCTAAACTATTAAGCTACTGTTGAGGAATTTTTTCATTACCCTTCTTGTTAGAAATATAAATCAGATAGTTAGTTTTGAATTATTTAAAATTAGCAAACATTATGAAATTCAATCATAAAGAATAGAACTTAACATGTACTGATAGTTATCAGAGTTTAAAATGTATAGTTTAGAAGAAAGAGAAACGACAGTCAATGATTAAAATGTAATAGATGGAATTGTATTACACTATTAACATTTTATCATTATAATTTTGTGCTTTTCATTTTTTTTTTGTTATTTTCAGTTAGAACATGATCGTTTATTCGTAGTTCATTAGCACACTGCTGGTATTGTAATTCTTTTTATTCCTTATATTAAAATTCCTTCAATATTTTAATGGTGTGCTGTATATAGAAACGACAAAACACGATGTTCTAAGTTATCTCTATTTATCTACATATTTATGAACTAAACAATGAGAATATTAGAAAAAAGTAAGCTGTATCTAACTCATCGTTAGTAAGATGTAACCTGGGAAGATATATATCGTGAAGAGATTTCAGACAGTTGATAATAAATTGTTTAATCATTTATCATGCATGATGGAATTATCGACTGAATTAAGTGTAGAAACTTTAAGATGGAGGATAATTTATTCGAGAAAATAATACATCAAATGAAGTGTGTTGTTTATGCCTTAAATGCTACATTTCAATCGACCAGTTTCAAATCAAAAAATGATAATATTAATTCAAATAGACGCAAACAACAAAGATATCTTAGTGAAAATACTAAAATTTATATAGAATTAACAAAACGGTCTTCTCTTAGGATCTTCTCTATTCTAGTCCTAATTAGCTGGAAATAGACCAGTCAATGTGTTCCTAGTTGAACCTGATCGGAGAGCATGAAATAGTCAGGACTGTATTCTGCTAAAAAAATAATTAGCTCATGTTCTGTTGACGTCCAACCAATATCTATTACTCTGTATGAAGGTAATTTTCGTCACACAATAAAATCAGTCATAAATTCATCGGGAAATATAAAAACCTGGGCCTACTAATTCATCTTGTTTAGTTCGACTCTGGTGCAACAGTGGGTGTGTACTATCCTAAAGGAAATTAAAACAAGAACATGAATATCAGTAAACCAGTATCTTCGTATTTTCGACTTCCGATGATTTTTTTATTACAGCAAGATCCTTTCATTCACTATCATCGACAAATGACTACCAGCTTATTGGCCGATTCGTTGAGTGCAGCGTACAGAATAATATCGTACTTACACATGAGGAAGAAAATAATAACCTATTGCCCTTTTTAGACATACTTTTGAGTCGAAGGGAAGATGGAACTACAAAGTGGTTAGTTTATAGGAAGTCAACCTAAAGTGGTCAATATCTAAATCTCTACAGTTTCTGTCCATTGCAACACAAGCGAGTCTTGGTAAAGTGCTCCTTCAATAGGACTCGAAGAATATCCACTACAGAGAAGTTGGAAGAAGATACGAAACTGCTGGCTAAAACGTCAATATCAAACGGTTATCCATTAAAGTTTATAAATAGGTAAAAAAAAGTCAGTCAACACTAAAACCTCTTTTTAGACCTGCTGAGGAGAAAAGTTTTTATACATCATTATCGTTTAACGGAGAATTGGATAGAATAGACTAAAAGCAGCAATCGAGAAAACATATTACGCTGCTCAACTGGTTGTGATTGAAAAGACTAAGCCCATGATTTCAAATTGACTTAGACATTATATCAAATCCCACCGCATTCACTAATTCACATGTTTGTGTGAACACACACACATAGAGAGGAGTAATTGAATAATACAATCAAACGTTATGTTGGATGCGTCTAGACGGCTTCAGAACCAAATCCTTTAATAAAAGTGACAAGTAGAAAACCATGTCCATCAATAGTAGAGCACATAATTGAAACGGAGCATAGAACTGACATAAATACAGTTTTGAAAACATTGTATAGAAATTGTCAAGGACGAATACTTAGTTTTATAAAAGCCTTAGTTATTCATAAATTCAAACCCCCTTTATGTGTACAGAAACAAATCGGCGTAACCTCGGAGTCACCCTGGTAATTTCTAAAACATTTTATTATCTAGGGTAATGAAATAAATTCTTATTCAATAAATAAGAAAGATTGTTTCAACGAAGAGTTATTTTTCTGTAAATTCATTTTCAAAGCTGTACAATCAAAAATATATGCTTATTTTTCAAAATGATAATAGTTACGATAATAGTGATGATAAAATCCTGCTAAACATGGTAACAGTGAAGGAGAATAAGCAAAAGTATAAAAACATTCTTCTTATCAAGGAAACTAATGATAATTTTGTTAAGAGCTTGAGTATTCATTATGAAATTAGATAAGGGATTATAATTGGAAGGACGACTCAGTATGAAAATTGTTAAGACTGAAATGAACTAAAATCCGGAGGATCAGCGAAACGGACAAAAATCAATTGGAGGGCAAAAGGTCTATAGAAAAGACAGAAGGGAAACAGATAGCTGTTAAAGAAGAAAAGTATGAAGAAGAAAGAAAATATTACGAAAGTAAAACCACGGTAGAAGTTGTATAAGTTTTTCTTGGACACATAATTTTGGTTTTTTGCAGATTTATAACCAGTGCTTCGGGGATGTTAGGAAGATGGGATATAACTGCCTTTGGAAGCCCTTTACTAACCTTTTAGATGATCTTGAGCACAGAATCTGTTTTGATTGAATGACCTGTGTTCAAACGGTTTTCGATTGTTGAGCTTCTTATTGAGCCCTTTTCATCTGTTTTCAGCAAAGTTGGATAATGTTTTCGAATTCTTCGGGATAAAATATGCATTGAACGACCTATATGCTGGCTCCACATGAACAGATAAATTAATAAACGCGCATAGTTTTGGTCAAATGAGATAATTTATCCTTAAGATTATTGATGAACATTTGTCGACTAGAGAACACTATTCGAAAAGTTACTGAGAAGAACGTTAGATTAAAAGATTCGGAAATTCTTCTCATGAGGACATCCGCAGATTTATCACCTTTGAAAGCAATGTTCATGTTAAGTTCGCTACCCGATTAACGCAGAGTACAGTATACAACTGCGGCACTCGAATTTATATAACCCCAACAGTCACAATCATCGGTATTTATAGATATTAGAGTTTGTTATCTCAACATTATAATACAGCCAATCCGCAAAGAGGCATGTTATGCCACATTGATATTCTAGAAAGCTCCACCACATTCTGGTTGGATGGAGACTCTTCGTTCATTTAGAACCTCTGGAGGCTCCGTTGTAGTTCTCGGGAGCCGTCCTAATAGTTTATAGGAAACGTTTTATTTTCTATGGAGGTTATTTATGCTTTAGGCGGTTTGAGTTGTATATTCTTATCAACAAATCCGTGTCGGGTAGTGACAGGTATCTACCTCAGTACAATGGAAGTTGGTCGCGCAATTTCGCGGATTGGTTGATATTAGACACTAACACCATTAGATGCCGGCTCAGTGGTCTAGTTGGTTAAGCGCCTGGCGCGAGACCGATAGGTCCTGGGTTCGAATCTCGCGGGGAGCGGGATCGTGGATGCGCACTGCTGAGGAGTCCCATACTAGGACAAAACGGCCGTCCAGTGCTTCCAACGGTGGTCTAACATCAATTGATTCATGATCTCAATTTAAAAAAATGTCGATAGATACACGTTTATGATAAGTATTTTCTTAAGAAGGCTCGGTCCGTTATCCATGACGTCGGGACTACAAATTCTTCATATTCGTGTGGCAAGGGATATACTTAAGTTTCTTTTCCGACTAATAAGGACCAAGCTGTGAAAAACTGACAGCTGGCCATTCAACAAACATTTCCTGTAGATGGATCTTCTTACAGTTACGTCGTGTTTCGTTGTTATTTTGACATCAAGAAAGTGAATGCTTTGTTTTCAACTTATTGTGTGAAATTTATTGCCAAGTGGCAGTTGTTAAACGTCTGCAGAAAACGATTCAAATCATATTTATTGTCACGAATGATAAAAACATCAGTCACATACCTTTTATACAAGTGGAATTTGTCAATGGCCGTTTTAAGTCGACTGTTTTCCAGACTGCCCATAATACTATCTGCTAGTAACGGACCAAGACAGGATCCCATTGTTATCCCATCCTTTTGTCTATGAAATATGTCGTTTAGTGTAAATTGTACATTACAAGTGCATCGTAATGGTAGTTCGATATTAAACTCATTATCACTTATGTATTCGCAGATGAAACTGATGGTCTTTGTGAGTGGAACATTAGTGAATGGTGATTCGACACCAAGTGAAAGGATAAGTTTGTCATGTACATTCAATTCTTTTATGTAATCAATGAATTCAAAAATATCATGAAAGGAATCTATGCAAATACGTTTTCATGTGGGTTCCAGATCAGCCAGTCACTTTACTATAGAGTGGTAAAGGGATTCGGACATACCAAGAATTGGTCGGACAGGTAGGCCAGGTTTGTGTATTTTAGGCAAACCATATGGTTCTATTGTTTCTATTCTTTCCATATTATATTAATTTCCTCTCTCTTTTATCTACAATTGTTACTTTATGTTCATTTAAACTTCCATTTAATTGATCTTTATCAATTTTGATATAAAATGCCTTGACTAGTACATATGTGACCAGATTGTTCGAAACGTATAATGCAAGTACATTATATTCTTCAGACCCATTCCATTTTCTCATTTTTTCGATATTCACTGAGTTGATCTAGTTTGACATGTGTATCATTCATTCACTTCTATGTATAAAGATTTTTATAAGTTATAACTCTAATGATAAATAATCTACTGAGATCAATCTGCAATGAAACAATAATTAAGTATGACCAGTCACCACCTACTTTAAGGCGTTCGATCAAACTTACCTGGAATTTCAGATATGATTGAATCTTCTACTTCAGCATAAGATTCATGTGGATTAGTAACCGGGATTATTTTATTATGTGATACTTGTATCCAGGATGGTAAATCAGGTGGGATACTATTTATCCAACGTTGAACATGCAACATGCGTTCCTGACAAAAAAACAATAATCATAATAATAATAAAGAGAAGGAATATTCACATGACTTTCAAGTTTATTTAATTTATACAAATCACTAATCTTGATGCTTGATAAAAAACATGGCAAATCAACAAAATAGGATGTTTTGTTTTTATTGAACAGAATTCTAAAACATGCAATCATTTGATCTAGAATAGTGTTTTGCCTATGAATTTATTAATCCAACTTTTATACTACTACTGTAGTGAACGAAGAAGTCAAGTGGGGAAAACCAATTTACTGTTTAATGCACGATCACGCAGTGGTTTAGTACAGTGTGCAAATTATACATCAATTACATAATTTGAACATCTTTGAATTGTCTCTTACAAGCATTAATGTTTCTTGATTCCTGTTGTTATCTTGATTGCTTTCAGTTTCCTTCTCTCTTCACATCATTTCAATCTTCTCAACCTTCTGCTCTCAGACAATCCACTTCCGACTGGTGTTACATACTACATATATCTGCAAACGTGAGTAGCATACATCACACTACTGCTGCTGATGACAGCTTAACAGAAAACTCTGACGCTGTTTAAACTAAAACAAATGACTATATTTTTATTTTTTATTTACTGTAAAGAATTGCATCTCAACTTAAATAATCAGCAAAGTGTCATTGTAAATATCTTATATATTTACATATAGAGTCATTTTTACAATCCTTTTATAGTGAATATAAAATAGTAGGGATTTACTACAGATATAGGCATCTTTCCGGGGCATAATAGAGAGCAGTAAATATGATACTTTCATTAGATGTTGTGTATAAGTACAATGCTGACGGTATGAGAGAATTTCGTGACGCGCTTTAAAGCAACATCCACCCTTTGAAACGTAACGAATACATTACGATAAGTTGCCAAAAATAACACTAGACAAAAAGTATTTACTTAGTTATAATGTATCAGACTGAAATATCAAACACACAGAATTATTCATTAACTCAATGCAGAAACAAACAAATATAATGAAAGTACTTGGTTGAATGCACTCAATTCACTAGTATTACAAAATTGAAATAATATTAATCATTTGCACCTACTATTTGATATTGAAAATTCATGACTCCTGCATAATGTGCTGATATGGAAAAAAAACAGACACACAAAATCGTCTGTTTTTTTATACTTAACTTTACGAACTGATCTCTAAAAACACCTAATATAATACTAATGATCATATGCTCATGAGTGACTTATTTCGAGAGGTGATTCAATGAGTTCAAATGACAATCCGTGACCAATGAAGTACGATCATGTCGTGTCAGGCAGTTGTTCACTACAGGCAATAGAAGATGACTGCACAATATCGCGAATTGATTGGAGGTAAACATCTAAACGACCGAATGCTGACTCATTGGTCTAAAGATTAAGTTCTCACAGCAAAAATTGAAAGTCTTAAGTTCAACACCTGGTGGAGTTGAAACCTCATAAAATTGAGGAGTTTCATGTTGGGAGCAAGCACATGTCCAATGTTTCCTAGCTTTTAATGGTAGTTTAACCAACATCATTCCATGATGTTGACTATGACTCCTTATATAGTATAACTGTTTATGATAACACAAGTTAAAACACTAATTATGTGAAATATGACCACCAAAACATAAGTATCATCAAAATCAATTTGTTTCCTGTTTCGGTTAACAAAATAGTGAAAATGATCAAGTATCACTAACAGAATTGTTGATGAAAACGAAATATTTTGATTTTCCGAATAACAGAAAGACACAAAAAATCTGATGTATAGTGAGAAAGTCCCCTCCTTTTCCACAACTTTGTACACTGGTACATAAAAATAATGTAGTGATATAATAACACTAATAATAAAATTTTAATATCATTCCTTAATGCCACAGCAAAGAATTAGATTTCTTTTTTTAGAAGAGAATTTCGTAATATTGATAAAGGTTGTTAAAAAAACCACGTTTGTGTTAAAATATCATATTATTTTACTTTTGGGTTGTTCAGTTAACCTTATTGCGCGATTTCTAGACAATCTTTTAGTAGGGTTAAATCACTTGACTTGATAAGATAATCTAGTAACCAAGCTATATATATTACCCAACAGAGTTGGATAGGTGTTCAGAAATGTTTAGCAAGTTAACGCACTTTACAATCGATATATTGTTGACTTCTACAGTCGGTCAGTCATCTACAACTAGTTTGCCTCTTGATTTTTATTTTACTCAGTCATCTACAACGTAAGACCAGGCACATATGCGCATCGGTCCAAGCTGCCACACCTCATTAGCACAACAAGATGAACAACAAATTCATAGAATCAGTCACTTCAATGGCAGTAATGTATAAAAGAAAGATTGTGTATGAGGGTATAGTACAGGAAGAAAGAATTGTTTCGTAGAACGAAAGGTATGAAGTAAGCTCAATCTCACAGTTTAAGGGAAGAAAGAGAGTGAATGCACCTACGCCATTGTGATTGATTCTGGGCCATGTCACCTAGTCTCCAACCATTGGATAGTCACACGGACCCCAACCAAGTAGTCTGTATCTATCAACATGGCCCAGACTAGAAGTTAGTGACTTTATGGACTGATGCCAAGTTTTGGTTTGGCCGTCTCTAACTTTCTTCCATCCGTCTCCAATATTAGTCAGAATTGCGCGTCGTGGTAATCGATGGTTGGGCATGCATAGTACGTGGCCCAACCATTTTAGTCGATGAAGATTTACAACCTCATCAACTGATTTACCACCATTCCCTAATACCCTGCATCTAACTTCACTATGACTTACCCGTTGATCCCAGCAGATGCGAGCAATATTTCTAGGACATCTGTGATCAATTACTAGTAACTTACCAGTATCTTCTACCCTTAATGGTCACGTTTTACAGAAAATAAATTGATAAACATACTCAGAGAGGGGTTTTGTGGATATTATAGTAATTTAATAGTTGAACTCATGAGTCAATTGAAGCCAGATCACCATGGAAATTCTGGATGCACTGTAAGGACGTTTCGTCCTAGTGTGGGACTCCTCAGCAGTGCGCATCTATGATCCCGCCCCGCGAGGTTATAATCATCATATCCCCAATAGTGACTGTTTCCAAGAGGTATTTCCTGAAGTTATAGTGAGAAACCGTAACCAGTAGAGTTCAACCGGTTCTGTCGTGAGATGGTAACTCACCGAAGACAATGGTGAACGGTGGCGCAATTTCGTGGTTTGGTTAAAGAGAGACATTAGCACCACTGGATGGCAGCTCAGTGGTCTAGAGGTTAAGCGTTCGCGCGAGAGACCGATAGGTCCTGGCTTCGAATCTCGCGGGGCGGGATCGTGGATGCGCACTGCAGGGAGTCCCATACTAGGACTAAACGACTGTCCGGCGCTTCCAGGTCTTCCATGGTGGTCTAGCTTCAACTGACTCATGAATTCGACTATTAAATTGATAAACATACACTGGATGCAATTCAATGGACTAACTTGTATTTAATGCATTAACAAATGAATTTAAATTAGGTGTATACAATGCAATGAGATAATTTTAAACGATACCACCTTTATGATGATCAATCAATAACAAGGTCATAGATCGGACGAATAATACAATCAACAAGAACAAGATTGTAATAATATGAAGCACAATGTGTAAGCAAAATGCATAATCAGTGATGACATCATTTTAGAGTACAGCATAAACACTGTAGAATATATCGATTTCGTAAACATGAAATCGTCCTCCATAAGTTGATGTATGGAAAACTTAAATAAGCGAAGAAAGTTTTCTAACTACAACTTCTTCATGAGGAATATGAAGTAATAGATGTGACATATTCCCCAAGGAAATTACATAATAAGTTTTATCTATTAATGGTACAACTTAGTGTTACACAACAATCCCGTAGTACAGTGTAAACTAAGTTGAAAACTTGTAAAATATGTTCCATTTATAAAAGAGAACTGAGTTTATTAAATTAACATTAATGTACTAAGATTTGTGAATGAATTTTTTATTCTTGTTAGCCATAGATTGTAGCATTTAAGAACTAGTATTTTCTTAGTAGGAGAACTGAGAAGTCATTTTTGCAAAATAAGCAGTTTTGTGTATGATCAAGTGTGAAAAGTATCGTTCGAAGGATAAGAAGTTACCAAGTCCTTGAGATTGTGCACGTATATCAACTAAATTGATCGACGAATGTATTTTCACAAAGATGCACCTGCATCCATTAAAAAACTTAACTAGTTGAAATAAGGTCAGTTGAAAAAAAGAACCGATGGAGTTACCAATTATTAATCTCATGCTTAGCAGAGAACCTGCTAACAACAAATATATAATACAAAATACATCAAATGACTATTTTTCAAGGAATATCGAGACACATAAAAATTATTAGTGTAAAACTTCGTAATAATGCACAAGTTATCACACTTCAATAGACAAACCAAGAAGAAGAAGAAGAAAGATGCTAGATTGTTCACTTAACCGTTGCACTATACAAAGAACAATGATTTACAGATATCTAAAACAAGTAGGTGTCATTTATCTCCAGTTACCATATTTTACAACCACTGAATATTATAGGACGAAAAACTAGGCTATCTATTTGTCTAAAGATATGCACCTTGAGTCACTTATAACAAGAAAACTGGACAGATCCTGTGTATATGTGCCGAGATTTCGTCAGTCACTAACCTATCTAAGTGAATAAGTCTTTCTACATGAGTGTATTGGTTAATACATTAAACTATATTATTTTATATAATCACATAAGATGAAAAAAGTTTGGTATAAATAAACACAGGATTTAGAAAGTGTGAAACACATTCCAAACAATTTCATATTATTATTCAATGTGTTCAGAGAAGAATGTGAATTTTACTACCATTTCCACTTACTAGAACTATACTGTCTAAGTAATTCAGGCTCACAACAGAACCTCTAAGACATCATATCAGGTTATTATGCTATGGGAGAAATTATTAGAATCATGAAATAAAAATTCGTTTGCGTATTTAAGTTAAAAGTTAGTCGATTAGCTGAATATTTATTCTTTGAAAAGCAATAGGATAATTATTATTGTATCCCTATTTACATTTAATCTCCTCCTAACCCCACCAACACATCAGGTAATAGACTAGATATAAATAATTAAATCTTAATGATGGTTTCTATTAATATTTGACCATTTAATTAACTTTGTGATTATGTTCAGTATAGAAAGAAAAAATGGAGGGAATTTAAGTAATTCAGCATTGATCAGTATAAATAATAAATTTATCTGTCCGAAAGAAGGAAGGCGGAAATAGACAATGTTTGTTTGCTTGAAGAATAAATCAGAACGATCAACAAATACAAATGTGAATATATCCATTGGCAATAGTTGTAGATGACTACACCCTTTACTCTGTTTTAACTCTGACATAGATTATAATTAATTTTATAGCGAGGATACATAAATAAATAGTTATATATATAATCGATTGATGCGGCATGCTGTGAGAAAACGAGAGAAATAAGAGCCTTTTGCTTGGTGAATAGAAACAATATTATCAGTAACGTCATTAATACTACCAAAGATAATAATGATAGTAGTAATAGTATTAGTCATAAAGCGTTAATTCATGACCAGTGCTGATAGTAACTAAAAAGAACAACTACAAATCAATGTCAACCAGCATAATGTCTAATTCTATGGTGATTTGTGTGGCTTACATATAAATATATGTTATCATGTAACAGACAATATATATAAGGTGGTGACCATGATTGAAAAGTAACAAAACTTAAACAGTAAATAACTAAATAAATTTATAGAAAAATTGTTGAGTTTTGCATATATTGGTGTCAAAATATGAAATATAAACTAAGAGGTACTCTTGATGAATAAGGTTGGTGTTATTGCTAACTATGTAATAATTTAAGAATGTCCAAGTGAAATGATTAGAAGTGTTAAAATAGAGAGAGAATTCTTAGTTGTGTCGAATGACTATTTGTTTAAGACCTGTAGAAAAATGGTTACGTTAGCTTAGCAGTAAATGGATTCATTCACCTTTATCACTGGATCGTAGATTCAAACACTGTCTCATAGATTTTCGATTGTACAGCTAGATAATATCGAATTATAGTAGTACACCAGTCTGCATTTGGTATATGTATTAGATTACATTGTAGGCAGGTAGAGTTTGACTGGTAAGTGTTAAAGACAAAATGAACAGGGAATTAGAAACCTTGAACATAAAACTGATTACAACTTAAAATTTGCGCGCATTCACTTTCTAATTTAATAAACATTTAATTAATGATTACCCAGTCCATTTTCTATCTAAGTCAACAGATGATAACTAGATAGGTTTATGCTGTAGTTGGTTCAGTTAACCATATTAGTAATTTAATTAACATCCATTAATTATTTGAGAGCAATCATGCGATATAGCCTTGACAATTCTATCCTGATATTCTAGAGTTGGAAAGATTTGAAAGAGCATTCACCTGAATTCATAAGATTTTAAAACTAATGGTAGGGACCTTTATAAACAATAATATTAAATCTCTGTCACCAAAAAGCTGACACATAACCCATTGGTTTTTGTAGTATTTACCCAACACAATTTAATTTTATTTGCTTTCAAAGTACATTAAGAAACCAAAGAATTTTGATATGTGTAATACAAATGAAGAACTGGATTCTATATCATTTCAAACGAGAGACAATTTGGAATTATTTGATGGTAAAAAACACATCGGAAGAGTATGCTCATATAAAGAATCATAGATTGTCGTAGTCACAAAAAGAGAAACAAAACCAAGCATTAAAAAAATAATTCAAAAAGAAAACTAACCGATTCCCTCAAGCTAGGAGGCAGTGACGGTAGTGAAGAATGGATTTCAGCAGCTGTTGTACGTCCAATAGTGCAATTAGGAAGCTTTTCTTTGCTATGTCCATTTTGTGGACTAGACAGAAAACGTCTTCCACTGCTATTGTTATTATTATTATTATTTTGTATATTCTCAACAAGTCTTGATTCACCATAAGTTCCATTTGGAAACTATGTGCAAAAAAAGAGGAGAACTTTAGTGCTGATAAAAATAACTTGATATCAAATAATAACAATTCCAATCATTATCAATTCTGTGCAATAATCTTACTGAGTTTTGAAAACATGGATAATGTGTGTATACATAGTAGAATTATTCATGGTTCATACAGATTAATGTGTTTAGCTTTGAGTCGAACTTTTGTGTGTAAGAGATAGATATATAGAGAGAAGACGGTTACCGGGACTACCTAGCAACCCAAAGTGAAGTAAGTCGAGAAAGAATTAGGACCTGCTGGCCGTAATGGTCGAAATTCAATGGCAATAACTACTAAGTCATTGTTTGGTTTGTTTAAGAAACGAAATAATGAAAACGATATTCAACAATGGACAAATCAATACTTAAAAATGACTTAATTTCAGTTACATTTTATTTTTTGTTGCTTACCTTTGATTTGACCACCGTTTAAAAAAATATTAACGAAGGTGGATTAGTAAGTTTTTTTTCCTTTATATTAAGCACAACTAGACAAAAACATGGGAAGCTATTCAAGTATTAAATGCAAAAGCGTAACCATAATTAGTTGAAGAGGTGTCATGGAGATTAATTTGATTTGCAAGTCGTACTTCTCACAGATTAATCCTAGTCAGGGTTCTACTGAAAACGAGGGGGGCATCGGACAGTCGTTTCGTCCTTGTATAAGACTCCTTAGTAGTGACTTGCCGTGAACACACCAGGGAGAAGTTCAGATAAACTAGTAGACGAGATTGTGAGCTACGACTGAATAGGATACCTGTACACTTAAACGACTGATATTAGACGGGATAGATGTAATGAAGAAGAATATTTAAATTAAGAAATAAAATCAATTATTGAGGAATTCATGAAGAGCTGTTGACTTAGGATAGAATCCACGTCATATTAGAAAGTCGGAGACGGAAAATTTAAATATAAAACTACTTTTACTATCCACCTTTCTTTACTTTTGTAGCATTATGCTTTCCTTTCAATTTTTCCATCATACATCATGTTTTCGTACATGATTTCTCTCCTAGTTATGTTGCAAATGAACACAACTGAATGAATTCTAGTACCATCTGGTTAATTTAATGAGTATTTTAATAAATTACCACTAAATAAGGCAATACTTAAACACACAACAGTTCACGTTTCGGACAACAGACAGTAATCGCTAGCAAATAACAATTAAGTGATTAGCTCTTGGATTTACCAATATATGATATATATGTACAAATCGAAAGCGTTAATCACTTATAAGATATAGCATGGTATCCAGTCCGAGGTATAACTTTAATCTTTATCCGTAGTGTTGTTGGTGAAAGGATCAAATAGTAAATTATTTTAAAAAATGAAAGATATTTTTCAGGCTTAATGTAACGTTATCCATCAAAAAATAAAAGACAAATCGGTGGCTAAGTGGTGGACGAATGTAAAATACCAGTAATCTCGTTGGAAATAAGTGTTTCAAAAGAATAAATATAAACTGCGAAACTGTATTTTGAGAACGATATATCATTACAAAACTTACAAAACATTTTGTATTATGTCTTGAAGTATCTTGACTCCAATAATGATTATTTCCAGTATTTTTTGATGTGAATATTACATGAGATTCACCTAAAATTTCCACTGAGTTTGTATTATCTGTTTCAGTTTCTCGTTTTCGCTAAGTTATGACGAGAATAATAAGCAAATAAGTAAACATCAGGATATATCTCAAAGAATAAGGAGGACATGACTTTAATGGATTATTCATATAAATCAAATCGCTCCCATCCCTTGTTCGCTGCATCAACGCTTACTCCTCCTCCGGAAATGCTTTAAATGTTCTTACACCTATAAGTATATCCCATTCCACAAGTGAGATTATAGAAACTAATTGAATTTCTCTACCTGATGACACCTTACACTAACACCGTCCGTTTTAACCTTAACTAATTTGAATATCTAACCGGAACAGCATATCATAAAATAACGTGATACGCGTATTATGGCGGACCTAACTGGCTGGCCAACATATTGTAGTAATTATCGCTTTTTTAACCCATACATTCTGTTTTCATTTTATTTTCTCTAGCTGTAGATAACTACACTCAGTCCGTTATGGCACTGGAAGTGACCTTAAAGATACCTTCATATATAGACAGGATGTCTACTTAAAAATAGTCAGTGGTTTCCGGCTGACGCCTTTCATTGCTGTAACATATGTGAAAAAAATGTACTACCTAAATAATTTTCGAACTAGAACCTTTCAAACAATCTAATATCTTATATGTCTTCTGCATGTAATATTACTACCTATGTCAAACTGATAATGCCTGTAAACTGGTATGAGTTCCATAATTATTTCCGGAATATTTATATTATTATACATGATTTGACGATAAAACTTGTTAGATGAGAAGGGTGCCAAGCCTATGACTTATTGGTGACATGTAAAGAGTCTGAGTTACAGCTTCCTATAATTGGGCAATGAATTCGATTTTACACAACTAGACTACAAGTTCGAGTCCTACTTCACTTAATTCAGTTTAGGCAGTCTGATGGTAGAGCTAATTGCTATACTACAGTCTTTCTTACTGTCACCATATCCATTTACTCTCTAAGCTGTGATGAGAATTTGGATGAGTAGTTTTAGCTCAGTATGTTTGAACGTTGCCGAAATCACTTGATACTCTACTGAAGTAAGTAAAAATCTACATTTATTTGAGATGTAATAGAAGTCAAAAAAGACGGTCATTCGAAGTAAAATATGAGCCTTAATCGTTACACTACATTAAGTTACTTACAAAAATACTTTGATACGTTAAGTGGTAGGATAAATCTTGTATTTAAAAAGATTTATCCTGAGAAAAAATTTACAACTGCATCAACTACTAATATGACAAATGATATAACTGACTGATGACAAATGATAGTAACAAAAAAGTCAGTTGGAGTGAAAGTTTGGTGTTAAAAAAGTAGAAAGCTAACAAAAGTAACGTAGAATCTGATGAAACCTCTTACTAATCCGCAATTTCATATAGCATGAACACGAAAAAAAAAGAACAAAGACAAGAAAGCAACAACATCAACAGCAGTTAGCAGAAGAAAAATGAAGGATTAAAAAACAAGAGACAAAAGTACTGAACAATAAAATTTGTGGAATCTTTGAGAAAAGGTAAAGTAAATTTATTTTCGCCGATACAAACAATTTTGAGCCATATCATCTTGAGTCAATCGGTAATTTTAAAAAATGAGAAAAGCCTCAAAAACGTTTAACCGTAAATGATGGATTTGTAAAGTACAACATTGTATGAGCAGCTCTCAAGCAAAAATCAGAAAAGAAAACGAATGAGCGGCTTTACTTTAATTACATATGTTCAACCAGTAGTGAAGATGAGTACAGCATAGTTCAATTTTAGTTTCTAGTAAATGGCGGTAGAAAATCACAACTAATCACAAAGATTTTTAAGATGCGTTTCTGAGCCTAACTTGAAGCAGTGGCTTGGTGATTAAAACATTTAGTTACTGACGACTTGGTTGAAAGTTTGAATCCCACTTTCAGCTAGTTGGTAGTGATCGAATTAGAGCCTGGTACAAGTGTGCGTTAGTTCAAGTTGTTTTAGCACATTATTATGATGATACAAAATTAACAAGCTGAATAATAAAGGAGTCAAGACAATGATAGTTAAAGGATCAGGCATTGAGAATATGGTCTTTGGAATCCCGATAAAAAGTTGTATATAAAGAAACGGTTGAACTCAAGATCTAGAGGAAGATAAAGAGTGAATCCATAAGTTCTATTGTAACTGGCTCTCACCAAAAACACTTAATATCTCTAGACAGTGGTCACAGTTATTGGGCGGACCTACAAGCAGACAGTTTACATCTAATGAAATGACTCAGTTTAATAGTTAATGACCTCATAGACAAATAACACAGCTTGGCTCGTTTGCCTTTTTCCTACAGTACTTCGATAAGTAGAGTGGTATTACCAGTCTCTGTACTGAAAAAGACTGGGAATTGGATAGACAAATGTGTAGCTAGTGAATGAGTCACTTAATTTACGCGTCAGGTGAAACATTTACTTGTTTACTACACTTAAGGAGCAAGAAATATCCACAAACATAAGTAAGCACGTAAATAGAAAGAGTGGAAAAGTATTCTTCTGTAGAAAACACTCACTTTTCGTTTGAACTGACTATTTTCGTTGAACTCATAGTCATGCGTTCTTCGCCTAATGGTTTTAGTTCCATCCATTTAAATTATTTTGCAAATAACGATAGTACATAACGAGCTGAAAATAACAAGCGATATACAGTATGAAAGGAACTGATGAGAAATATTGAAAAACCTTGTAATATTAATTACGTTGAAAGATTTTCCACTAAGTGAAGACTCCCATAACAGTGCTTTGTTTAAAATATAACGATCAATAGGATTGGGTTACATCGACACCCGAACTAGTGATAGGGAGTGAAGTAGTTGAGTGTGTCGACCGCTTCACTTATCTTGGAAGTCTCATCAGCCCTTGTGGTTTGGTGTGTGACGAAATCTCAGCACGGATACAGAAGGCTCGACTAGCTTTTGCCAACTTGCGTCATTTATGGCGTAGGCGAGATATCCGTCTATCAACCAAAGGACGTGTTTACTGCGCAGCAGTTCGTTCCGTCCTTCTTTATGGCAGTGAAACATGGCCGGTAAGAGTAGAGGATATCCGTAGGTTACTAGTATTCGATCATAGGTGTCTTCGAAACATTGCTCGTATATCATGGGACCATCGAGTAAGTAACACAGTTGTTAGGAAACGGGTACTAGGTAAAGATGGCAAATCAATTGATGACGTAGTGAAACTTCATCAGTTGAGATGGCTGGGACACGTGTTACGTATGGCCAACGACCGACTGCCTCGACGTGCTATGTTCAGTGGTATAGGAGTAGGTTGGAAGAAAGCTAGGGGCGGCCAAACCAAAACATGGCTCAAGTCCATGAAGTCACTGACAAGTGAACTGAGTCATGTTGGTAGGTGTAGACTACCTGGTTGGGGACCGCGAGATGACAGCAACCGATGGTTAGAGACCCTGAATGACATGGCTTAAAATCGTTCGCAATGGCGCAGGTGCATCCACTCTCTGTGTTCTCCCAAACTCTAATCTTCTGAATTCTTCATGTCCCTTTTTCCCTCTTTCCAAATTTCTTTCACTGGATTATACTCTTTAAATAACATCTCCAAACCCTAATCTTCCCGATTACTGCTTATACTCTTGCTACCTCTACCACTACGGGATTTGAATCGACCACTGCATCTCTGTGCTAATGTGGTGTGGCAACTCGAACTGATGTACGTACGTACGATGTTCTACGTTGTTACTGACTGACTGAATAGTATTTTTATTATGATTTGATAATAAAGCAAATGGATTTGAAGTTTCAGGACGTTTAGTAATAGGTAAAAATAGCAAAGTTAGAGCAGGATCGCTACTGGCTTTTATTTTGAGTCATGCCTAATAACGTCTCAAGCCACTGTGCTGCACCATCTTTAAGACGCCAACCAGGGAGTTGTGAAGAACCAACAGAAGCAAGTCGTATACAGCTTTCTTTAATACCACGACATCATATCATACACAAACCACCTATCCACTTTTTCTAACCAGTCCCAAATAATGCACGACGTGAAATTCCCTGGGACGACGTTCGTAGAACATGTGCAAGCCACCGAAGTCGATGTCTCAAGATAGTGACACTAGTTGACCGGACACAAAATGCTGAATCTCTGGGTTTCTAACTTGCTTTTGTTACTGGATGTCAGCAATCCTTCGGAGACAACGATGATCAAACACAGAGTCCTCTAACATCCTCAACTCGGAGAGGCTAGGTTTCACAAGCATAGAGCAAAACTGCTCTCACCGACGCGTTGTAGATCCGGCCATTTACAGCCAGACCAACATCATGAAAGTGCCAAGGATGGCGCAGATTGACATAAGCTGCTCTGACTTTCACAATACGTGCATTGATCTCATCACTCGTGCCCCCACCAGCACTTATGCAGCTAACTAGATACACGAACTTCTCGACTACTTCTATCTGCTCACCATCCAGGATGAGTACAGGATTAGAATCCTGCAAGTTTTGTAAAAGTACTTTGCACTTGGAAGGTGCAAAGCACATACCATACCTACCTATATTGATTACCAACTCATTAAGTGCGGATTGCATGGCTTGGGTATCATCGCACAGTAAGACAATGCCCTCACTCTGCCTGAGGTATTTGTATATAGGACTCTTAGGATGTTAATAAAATCCTCAGGTATATCCTTCTTCAATAGACAATCCTAGAAAACAAATCAAAGGCTACCCTAGTGTCAAGAAACACTACGATTGTTGACCTACGAAGTACCTCTGCCATGCTTTACAGACCAAATTCATGATGGAAGCTTCGTCTCTCGGGTGCTCTAACTGGCTTTGTAACGTTACAAGCCACAGCTTCTACAAATGGGGTAATGAGGTTCAGTTAACCCAACGGTACATTCAGGATTATGAGTCATCTGGATCCGTAGACTTTCCAGGTCTCAGAAGTCAAAGTAGCTGTAGGGTAACTTTCTTAATGAGCAATAGTTCTTTAGTCAAGTGGTGTTTCTTTAAGTTATCTGCTGCACTATTATATATATATATATATATATATATATATATATGACTGTAATAATATGGGCTCTTTGGGGTAATTTTTTCACAATCGAGAGTGGTAGGAAGAACCTTCAAAATTTCCCTATATTAAAGGGAAATGTCTTTTGAGGTCATGTTTATGCTCAAATTAACTGCTCCTCACTGTATGAACCGGACGCAATGAATAAAAACCTGTAAAAGATGGTTAACTGTTAAGTATGACCTTTGGTTCCCTGCTATAACTGCCTTACATAAACGGATCGCGATGCAATTCAGATCACCATTACTCATATGTTCAGGATGCGTAAACGCTTTGAAGGTGTCACGTAGTAATACTTCTAGGCTAGAGCTTCAAACGAGTCTTTAAAAACTAGCTAAATGGTTAAAAGTTAAAGCCTATGTTCAAACTCCACGAGAAGTGGACTAATAAAGCACTGCCTTAGTAAAAGCTAAAGCAACACTACTGATGAAATACCACTGACACGAGATCTGAAGCAAAACATTCTGGTACTAACACGTTTTACTATGTTGTATTCTTCAAGATTTGCTATATCCGGAACCGTCATATAAGAACCCAAAGACCACGGTTGAATAAACTCAGTTTGGGTTCCCGCTCCTCCTGTCTAGTAGTAAACATTTGGAACGACCTGGAAAACGGTGTACGCTCTCAGGAAGAAACGGAATATTTACGAAAAAACACTGCATGAATTAGGACAGGTTAACCAGTTCACGATCTTTATTACTGACTATAGGCTGGAAAATCCGCAGTCTCATGGGGAAATTTCGTAATATGTGTACCTTAAAAAACTAATGCGATGCAGATGACACTACATGTTTATCCCTTATAAATTAGGCAAAACATCAACTGTACGACGAATGCAATCATATAGGATTATAATTTCGTTGATTTCTCCTAATATCAAATAAAGTGTAGCATAAGAAAAATCTGAATCAATCAGCCGAACTGGAGGTCAACAAGTTTTGATATTAGGTAACACGCTATGACTTGATCTTGTGAAAAGCCAGACAGAAATACCTTGTTAAGAAAATGCACTAATACTCAGTAACGCAACATTCAAATATAGCGCTTGACGGTATGAACTCAGACCAGATTCGTATTTTGAGGGCAGAAGACATACGGTCTATATTAGCTCTTTTCTGGTAAACTTCTGGAAGTGTCTAGTCTCTTCTTGAGTGAGTCACTTGTACGGGCGGACACCACTTATTCGGGTAATGGTCCCAGTATTTGAACACTCGGTGTGAAAACTTATACATCATGGGTACTTTGTTCGCATTTGGTTGCTATATTCTCTCAGTTGTTCCGATTGGTAATGAAGAACAAAAGGATAGTTCAGGTCCAAGATCACTTCTTAAAACTTCGTATTTCAAAACTAGATCGCTTCTTAGTCTGTGGTAGGGCATAGAATAGAGGTCTAACTTCGCGAGCCACTCATTGTATAAGAAACTCGGGAGTCCTGGATCTGCACGGGTAGCTGCTCTCTGCCTTTTTTTCAATGGTATTCGAGTCATCTTTATAAAGGAGCTTGCAGCCTGAACTCAGTTTTTAAGTTTGGATCTCACTAAGGTTGTATGTACTGTAGTGGACATATTAGTATTCATCTTGGTACTTGTTCGTCCTAAAGCCCATGGGGTTGTCAGCCTCTTAGCTGTGACCGCGCGGCACTAAGCCGTAATTTTTAGATCATGATCTTAGTACCCTCAGTGTGCATGTAGACACACTTAGTTGCATTGATAAGCAACAGTCAGTTTTTAGACCACCTAACCAGAACATTTAAATCTGTCTGAAGTGAACATTCATCCACGTCGCCTGTTATTTCTCGCCAAATTTGTACATCATCAGCATAAAGTAGCATCAGGGACTCAACTACACTTGGGAGTTCATTTATATACAGTATTAGGAGTGAAGGACCTAGAACAGGTCTCGTTAGTTTATTGAGGAGAAAAAATATCGGCGTTTTGTAAAGATATGCTATATGAATTAACCATCTGAATCTGGAACCCCTAAGACTTCAGTCAAATTTGTATCCATATTTAGAAACCTGTGGCGACCATTAATTCGTCTAAATAAAAGCCTAAAAGCAACTGAAGTAGATTTTGACCAATTTAGTTCGAATGGATAAATTGCTAGCGGATGTTGCTGCATCTTATATCCCCGCTACGTTATGAAGATCTTTGACAGGCTTTGATTGATTTCAAATTTTAAATGCAATACGTTTGTTTGTGCTCACCTACTTTCACTTGGCTTAAGTTGCAGTTTCGGGAGTTCCTAGTTAATACAGCATTTCGAATACTTCTAATTATCATAGTTCTATTTTCATTGCATTTTGTCCGTAAATTTGAATTTTGAAGACAAAAGAGTTTGGGAATCAAAAATGCATGTCAAGGGCCAATGAATGTTAAGAAATAGAATTGTTCGAACCCTGGGGTACTACATTTGGTATATTGAGGCTGTCTGGTAATGTAGAGCAAATCTAGTCATCAGTCTTCACTCACGGCATCCTTATAGGTACTTAATTAGACACTCAATCACTCACAGGGTCTTCACTTCTAATTATACTATTCTACTGTGGTGAACGAGAACTAAGGTGGGGAACACCAATTTATTGATAAGTGCAAAACCATAGAGTGCCTTCATAAGATATAAAAACCGTACTTTAAATACATTACTCGCATATCTTTATTCAGTTGTCCTTGGGATGCTTCATGATTCTCCCATTTCTGTTGTTATTACAACTACTATCTATTCTCTACCTGGTCCTTCTAATTCAGACTTCTCAACGTTCTACTAGTAGGCATTCTACATCCACCTTTTAATAAATACTACTTATATTTGTCCGTATCGGTGGTACGTAGCACACTATGATTGATTATTTCAAATATTTCCAGGATTTTAGAAGACTCACGTTACTCACAACGTTTTCAACTTTTGGCAAATATGTTGTTTATGACATTACTGGTCATATTTACCTTGGTAAGTCAGATCAAAGCTTCGTCTCTCGGGTGCTCTAACTGGCTTTGTAACGTTACAAGCCACAGCTTCTACAAATGGGGTAATGAGGTTCAGTTAACCCAACGGTACATTCAGGATTATGAGTCATCTGGATCCGTAGACTTTCCAGGTCTCAGAAGTCAAAGTAGCTGTAGGGTAACTTTCTTAATGAGCAATAGTTCTTTAGTCAAGTGGTGTTTCTTTAAGTTATCTGCTGCACTATTATATATATATATATATATATATATATATATATATATATGACTGTAATAATATGGGCTCTTTGGGGTAATTTTTTCACAATCGAGAGTGGTAGGAAGAACCTTCAAAATTTCCCTATATTAAAGGGAAATGTCTTTTGAGGTCATGTTTATGCTCAAATTAACTGCTCCTCACTGTATGAACCGGACGCAATGAATAAAAACCTGTAAAAGATGGTTAACTGTTAAGTATGACCTTTGGTTCCCTGCTATAACTGCCTTACATAAACGGATCGCGATGCAATTCAGATCACCATTACTCATATGTTCAGGATGCGTAAACGCTTTGAAGGTGTCACGTAGTAATACTTCTAGGCTAGAGCTTCAAACGAGTCTTTAAAAACTAGCTAAATGGTTAAAAGTTAAAGCCTATGTTCAAACTCCACGAGAAGTGGACTAATAAAGCACTGCCTTAGTAAAAGCTAAAGCAACACTACTGATGAAATACCACTGACACGAGATCTGAAGCAAAACATTCTGGTACTAACACGTTTTACTATGTTGTATTCTTCAAGATTTGCTATATCCGGAACCGTCATATAAGAACCCAAAGACCACGGTTGAATAAACTCAGTTTGGGTTCCCGCTCCTCCTGTCTAGTAGTAAACATTTGGAACGACCTGGAAAACGGTGTACGCTCTCAGGAAGAAACGGAATATTTACGAAAAAACACTGCATGAATTAGGACAGGTTAACCAGTTCACGATCTTTATTACTGACTATAGGCTGGAAAATCCGCAGTCTCATGGGGAAATTTCGTAATATGTGTACCTTAAAAAACTAATGCGATGCAGATGACACTACATGTTTATCCCTTATAAATTAGGCAAAACATCAACTGTACGACGAATGCAATCATATAGGATTATAATTTCGTTGATTTCTCCTAATATCAAATAAAGTGTAGCATAAGAAAAATCTGAATCAATCAGCCGAACTGGAGGTCAACAAGTTTTGATATTAGGTAACACGCTATGACTTGATCTTGTGAAAAGCCAGACAGAAATACCTTGTTAAGAAAATGCACTAATACTCAGTAACGCAACATTCAAATATAGCGCTTGACGGTATGAACTCAGACCAGATTCGTATTTTGAGGGCAGAAGACATACGGTCTATATTAGCTCTTTTCTGGTAAACTTCTGGAAGTGTCTAGTCTCTTCTTGAGTGAGTCACTTGTACGGGCGGACACCACTTATTCGGGTAATGGTCCCAGTATTTGAACACTCGGTGTGAAAACTTATACATCATGGGTACTTTGTTCGCATTTGGTTGCTATATTCTCTCAGTTGTTCCGATTGGTAATGAAGAACAAAAGGATAGTTCAGGTCCAAGATCACTTCTTAAAACTTCGTATTTCAAAACTAGATCGCTTCTTAGTCTGTGGTAGGGCATAGAATAGAGGTCTAACTTCGCGAGCCACTCATTGTATAAGAAACTCGGGAGTCCTGGATCTGCACGGGTAGCTGCTCTCTGCCTTTTTTTCAATGGTATTCGAGTCATCTTTATAAAGGAGCTTGCAGCCTGAACTCAGTTTTTAAGTTTGGATCTCACTAAGGTTGTATGTACTGTAGTGGACATATTAGTATTCATCTTGGTACTTGTTCGTCCTAAAGCCCATGGGGTTGTCAGCCTCTTAGCTGTGACCGCGCGGCACTAAGCCGTAATTTTTAGATCATGATCTTAGTACCCTCAGTGTGCATGTAGACACACTTAGTTGCATTGATAAGCAACAGTCAGTTTTTAGACCACCTAACCAGAACATTTAAATCTGTCTGAAGTGAACATTCATCCACGTCGCCTGTTATTTCTCGCCAAATTTGTACATCATCAGCATAAAGTAGCATCAGGGACTCAACTACACTTGGGAGTTCATTTATATACAGTATTAGGAGTGAAGGACCTAGAACAGGTCTCGTTAGTTTATTGAGGAGAAAAAATATCGGCGTTTTGTAAAGATATGCTATATGAATTAACCATCTGAATCTGGAACCCCTAAGACTTCAGTCAAATTTGTATCCATATTTAGAAACCTGTGGCGACCATTAATTCGTCTAAATAAAAGCCTAAAAGCAACTGAAGTAGATTTTGACCAATTTAGTTCGAATGGATAAATTGCTAGCGGATGTTGCTGCATCTTATATCCCCGCTACGTTATGAAGATCTTTGACAGGCTTTGATTGATTTCAAATTTTAAATGCAATACGTTTGTTTGTGCTCACCTACTTTCACTTGGCTTAAGTTGCAGTTTCGGGAGTTCCTAGTTAATACAGCATTTCGAATACTTCTAATTATCATAGTTCTATTTTCATTGCATTTTGTCCGTAAATTTGAATTTTGAAGACAAAAGAGTTTGGGAATCAAAAATGCATGTCAAGGGCCAATGAATGTTAAGAAATAGAATTGTTCGAACCCTGGGGTACTACATTTGGTATATTGAGGCTGTCTGGTAATGTAGAGCAAATCTAGTCATCAGTCTTCACTCACGGCATCCTTATAGGTACTTAATTAGACACTCAATCACTCACAGGGTCTTCACTTCTAATTATACTATTCTACTGTGGTGAACGAGAACTAAGGTGGGGAACACCAATTTATTGATAAGTGCAAAACCATAGAGTGCCTTCATAAGATATAAAAACCGTACTTTAAATACATTACTCGCATATCTTTATTCAGTTGTCCTTGGGATGCTTCATGATTCTCCCATTTCTGTTGTTATTACAACTACTATCTATTCTCTACCTGGTCCTTCTAATTCAGACTTCTCAACGTTCTACTAGTAGGCATTCTACATCCACCTTTTAATAAATACTACTTATATTTGTCCGTATCGGTGGTACGTAGCACACTATGATTGATTATTTCAAATATTTCCAGGATTTTAGAAGACTCACGTTACTCACAACGTTTTCAACTTTTGGCAAATATGTTGTTTATGACATTACTGGTCATATTTACCTTGGTAAGTCAGATCAAAGCTTCGTCTCTCGGGTGCTCTAACTGGCTTTGTAACGTTACAAGCCACAGCTTCTACAAATGGGGTAATGAGGTTCAGTTAACCCAACGGTACATTCAGGATTATGAGTCATCTGGATCCGTAGACTTTCCAGGTCTCAGAAGTCAAAGTAGCTGTAGGGTAACTTTCTTAATGAGCAATAGTTCTTTAGTCAAGTGGTGTTTCTTTAAGTTATCTGCTGCACTATTATATATATATATATATATATATATATATATATATGACTGTAATAATATGGGCTCTTTGGGGTAATTTTTTCACAATCGAGAGTGGTAGGAAGAACCTTCAAAATTTCCCTATATTAAAGGGAAATGTCTTTTGAGGTCATGTTTATGCTCAAATTAACTGCTCCTCACTGTATGAACCGGACGCAATGAATAAAAACCTGTAAAAGATGGTTAACTGTTAAGTATGACCTTTGGTTCCCTGCTATAACTGCCTTACATAAACGGATCGCGATGCAATTCAGATCACCATTACTCATATGTTCAGGATGCGTAAACGCTTTGAAGGTGTCACGTAGTAATACTTCTAGGCTAGAGCTTCAAACGAGTCTTTAAAAACTAGCTAAATGGTTAAAAGTTAAAGCCTATGTTCAAACTCCACGAGAAGTGGACTAATAAAGCACTGCCTTAGTAAAAGCTAAAGCAACACTACTGATGAAATACCACTGACACGAGATCTGAAGCAAAACATTCTGGTACTAACACGTTTTACTATGTTGTATTCTTCAAGATTTGCTATATCCGGAACCGTCATATAAGAACCCAAAGACCACGGTTGAATAAACTCAGTTTGGGTTCCCGCTCCTCCTGTCTAGTAGTAAACATTTGGAACGACCTGGAAAACGGTGTACGCTCTCAGGAAGAAACGGAATATTTACGAAAAAACACTGCATGAATTAGGACAGGTTAACCAGTTCACGATCTTTATTACTGACTATAGGCTGGAAAATCCGCAGTCTCATGGGGAAATTTCGTAATATGTGTACCTTAAAAAACTAATGCGATGCAGATGACACTACATGTTTATCCCTTATAAATTAGGCAAAACATCAACTGTACGACGAATGCAATCATATAGGATTATAATTTCGTTGATTTCTCCTAATATCAAATAAAGTGTAGCATAAGAAAAATCTGAATCAATCAGCCGAACTGGAGGTCAACAAGTTTTGATATTAGGTAACACGCTATGACTTGATCTTGTGAAAAGCCAGACAGAAATACCTTGTTAAGAAAATGCACTAATACTCAGTAACGCAACATTCAAATATAGCGCTTGACGGTATGAACTCAGACCAGATTCGTATTTTGAGGGCAGAAGACATACGGTCTATATTAGCTCTTTTCTGGTAAACTTCTGGAAGTGTCTAGTCTCTTCTTGAGTGAGTCACTTGTACGGGCGGACACCACTTATTCGGGTAATGGTCCCAGTATTTGAACACTCGGTGTGAAAACTTATACATCATGGGTACTTTGTTCGCATTTGGTTGCTATATTCTCTCAGTTGTTCCGATTGGTAATGAAGAACAAAAGGATAGTTCAGGTCCAAGATCACTTCTTAAAACTTCGTATTTCAAAACTAGATCGCTTCTTAGTCTGTGGTAGGGCATAGAATAGAGGTCTAACTTCGCGAGCCACTCATTGTATAAGAAACTCGGGAGTCCTGGATCTGCACGGGTAGCTGCTCTCTGCCTTTTTTTCAATGGTATTCGAGTCATCTTTATAAAGGAGCTTGCAGCCTGAACTCAGTTTTTAAGTTTGGATCTCACTAAGGTTGTATGTACTGTAGTGGACATATTAGTATTCATCTTGGTACTTGTTCGTCCTAAAGCCCATGGGGTTGTCAGCCTCTTAGCTGTGACCGCGCGGCACTAAGCCGTAATTTTTAGATCATGATCTTAGTACCCTCAGTGTGCATGTAGACACACTTAGTTGCATTGATAAGCAACAGTCAGTTTTTAGACCACCTAACCAGAACATTTAAATCTGTCTGAAGTGAACATTCATCCACGTCGCCTGTTATTTCTCGCCAAATTTGTACATCATCAGCATAAAGTAGCATCAGGGACTCAACTACACTTGGGAGTTCATTTATATACAGTATTAGGAGTGAAGGACCTAGAACAGGTCTCGTTAGTTTATTGAGGAGAAAAAATATCGGCGTTTTGTAAAGATATGCTATATGAATTAACCATCTGAATCTGGAACCCCTAAGACTTCAGTCAAATTTGTATCCATATTTAGAAACCTGTGGCGACCATTAATTCGTCTAAATAAAAGCCTAAAAGCAACTGAAGTAGATTTTGACCAATTTAGTTCGAATGGATAAATTGCTAGCGGATGTTGCTGCATCTTATATCCCCGCTACGTTATGAAGATCTTTGACAGGCTTTGATTGATTTCAAATTTTAAATGCAATACGTTTGTTTGTGCTCACCTACTTTCACTTGGCTTAAGTTGCAGTTTCGGGAGTTCCTAGTTAATACAGCATTTCGAATACTTCTAATTATCATAGTTCTATTTTCATTGCATTTTGTCCGTAAATTTGAATTTTGAAGACAAAAGAGTTTGGGAATCAAAAATGCATGTCAAGGGCCAATGAATGTTAAGAAATAGAATTGTTCGAACCCTGGGGTACTACATTTGGTATATTGAGGCTGTCTGGTAATGTAGAGCAAATCTAGTCATCAGTCTTCACTCACGGCATCCTTATAGGTACTTAATTAGACACTCAATCACTCACAGGGTCTTCACTTCTAATTATACTATTCTACTGTGGTGAACGAGAACTAAGGTGGGGAACACCAATTTATTGATAAGTGCAAAACCATAGAGTGCCTTCATAAGATATAAAAACCGTACTTTAAATACATTACTCGCATATCTTTATTCAGTTGTCCTTGGGATGCTTCATGATTCTCCCATTTCTGTTGTTATTACAACTACTATCTATTCTCTACCTGGTCCTTCTAATTCAGACTTCTCAACGTTCTACTAGTAGGCATTCTACATCCACCTTTTAATAAATACTACTTATATTTG